CATCACAGATACCGGAATGAGATACTCCCAAACAAATATCATTGTTCCAACAATAGACTGGAATATTGGCCCAAACGAGGGGTTATCATTTATGCAAGTACCCTTATGGCGATCATAGTCGAATTGGAATGTCACTAACACCATCTGTGACAACGGCGCTAGGATCCACGAGATGTAAACACATTTCTTAGAGTGAGCTTTTGTAAACTTGGCTTTATAAACCATTGGCTTTACAACCGCCATGTAACGTTCGTAAGCGAGGATTGTGAGATTATATGTTGATAAAGAGAACGTGATGAAAAGAATCGAATACGAGTAGATGAACCGACAATAAACGTTGCCAACTATAGCAGAATTCTGCGGGGGTGGTACACTGAAAAGGCCGCACAAAGTTACGGGAATAATGAGGAAAGACGCTACAAGATCGTTGACAGCTTGCGAGCAAATGAGGTGCAAAGAGGCAGCACGGTTGTTCGTTGGCAACCTCTCAATAATGCTGATCACTAATGCATTACCAACGATACCGAAAGTGCCAATCAAGCTGAAAGTCGCACACAATAATATAGTGGACGTATTTCCTGGAGGAAGTGGTGTTGCTAAGGTATCATTCCAGGTGGCTATTCTCGTTTTGTCCATCACGAATGCTCAATATAGGCCCTTAGATGTACCTAATAGGTAAAAATATAAACAATTGCACATTATTAGGTAAAAAAAAAATCAACCCAATTTTTGGCATCTGTGTATTCCAATTTTTACACTATGTTCTATTCGATTTATATCGCTGTTTTGTTAAAATATGTCTTCCATTTGTTCTGTAAGTTTCACAACTTAATAACATTGATTCATTTTCTCATAAATCATAATCAAATCAATTATACAGACTTTTAATAAACTTTATAAATAATAATATTAATGGAACAAAAGTAATCAAAGTTCAAAATGAAACATTCCGGTTTTGATTTCTATTCTTTCAAGACTGCGTTTCAAGCGCACAGAGGGACTGGCCCCCCCCCCAATACCACGGTCAAGTAGTTAAACACCACTTAAAACCACCTTATTTTTGCGAGTTAGCGCCCCTCAACTTATCATCAATCCCCCACTTCACCTCCACGCCCATCATCATCATCAGCACCCTACTTTAAGACTCCATACGCCACTGCCCTGTAGTATGCGCTATACAAATATTTAGCCAATACCATTACTGATTTTTGATAATATACTGGTTTTGTATAGTTCGCCATAATTCATCAAATATCCTTGGGCCCCACCGGGGGCCCTAGGCGCCCCCTGGCCCCCAGCCAAGTGAGACTCGATTCGCTCCACTAGCCACTCCCCCCCCCCCGGGCAAGTCCTGGCGAGCAGGCCCGTAGCGTGACTCAATGTGCACTCTAAGCACCTTAAAAGACTGCCTGTTATCGAAAACATTAACATCTGCGACTCCTCGATTGTTCCATCTTTAGCGGTTGAAATTGGTGTAGTTTTCGATTCTAATATGACAATGTGTAATCATATTAGTACGGCAGCTTAGGGCCATATTTGGACTTAATGTGGACGTTCCGGACAAAAGCACCAATT